TGGAAGGGAACTACAATGCAGATCAAATATTTGCCACAGCTATGAGTGACTAGTTTTGGAAGCTATGCCAATAGGGTAAAATATAATCTTGAGTTACTTCATATCTCTTTCTCCCCTTTATGACTCTATTAAGAGTCAAACTTTGTCCAGAGACTTGGGTGATTTCTTCATATTCAATGTCTTCAGGGTGTTGACACACATGCTCTAGCATAACAAGCAAGTTGGCTTTTTAGAAGGCGTTGTGTGTAATAACCGTTATTACGGTTGGAAGTAAAACTGAATAACAGTCAGCATGGCAATACGTGCCTGTGTCAAGTACTGTACCAGTTATCTCTGGGAAATTTGATCCTCACCGTGGCCTCTATGATGTTACTTAAGCTGTTTCCTCTCGCTAGAGTATATAGACCCTCCCTCCATCTCTCTATATTCATTCCGTTTTTCAGACTTTATTCATTATGTATAGGTATGTCTGCTAATGTTTCTTATTCGTGGACACCTGGAATAATTGTCAAACTAAGCCACACACTTGAAAACTTTATCTGCGAAAGGTCAGACTGTAAATAGTTTAGTTTTGCAGGCCATATGGTCTCTTTCACAGCATTCAGCTGTCCTGGGAAATCAGCCATAGAAAATCCACTACAGTAAGGAAAGAACTGGGCTTCAGGAGAACATTCCTCATAAAAACAAGCTCCAGCAAGGATTTGGCCTCCAGGAGTTTTCTGACTCTTGAGCTGGACTTTTCTTGTTGTTTTCATGGCCTGGGAGAAACTCAGCTGAACTTCCTCATTATGGAGCATAATTGATATTGAGGTATTCAAGGTCATACATTTATACTGGGTCCAGGTTTGACATGCAGCTCTCCCGAACAATGGTCCGTCATCTTAAGTTTATTTGTTGCTTTCATTATTTGATTATCTTCTACTCTATGTTAAATTACAAAATGGTATTATTATTTTATTATTTAATGTTTAGTTACTTATGTGCCTCCATCTATTTTTGCCACTCATGAAGGAGTGGGATAGGGGTAGTTCATATTTTTTGTATAAGTTTCACCTATAGATATAAATATGGATATAGACAAAATCTTTCTAAAATTTTTCAAGCATGAACTAAGGGTCCAAGAAATCTTCATGCTTAATATCCCTGGAAGAAATACAGTAAATCAAGCACTTTTCTTAGCTAATTATATGATTATTCATTACATTTTGATTTAGAAGAGTATGATATTGCCAATGCTGAATTTAAAATTTTACAATTTTCTTTCAAAACATGAATTTTACATTCTTTTGTCTTCTTCACTCTAATTTTACTCTGATTTTATTATTCTAGATTGTATTATTTTTAAGTTTGTTACTTTCTTATATCTTTATAGATTTTAAAATCACTGAAAATTTCAGTATTTGGCAATATGACGATAAATCTTAGAAGTCCAAATTTTAGGACTACAAGAGAAGTAAACTACCTTCGGATTTAACTTAATGCTATATGTAGCCTTTAAATTTCAATGAATAACGAATCATTTCATTATCTATCAGCCTTAGTTTCTTTCAGTACAGCATTTCAATGCTTACTTTTAGAAAAACTGTCATTTATTATTCTAAGTATAAACCAGGCATATTCAGCAGGTTTAGTCTAAAAAGTATTTTCCCAGCAGGATCCTGTTGATTTCTTACATGGTTCGCTTTCTCATTTCCTGCAGATCAATAAATACTCTGATGTTTCTAGATCAAAGAGGCATCCCCTGACAAGGAGCATAGAATGGCAGCTCCCTCTGCTCTATCCCTTCTTCTGAGTTCCCTAGGCCCTCTTTCAAATAACCAGCACCCCTTTATAGCATCCTTCACCATCGCGAGCTATCAACTTAGCTCTTTGTTGTTAGTCTCTTCCTTACCATTGGAATGCATGGACTCATCTGCTACTGGGGTGCCGTTCCAAGAATTGATGAATGAGATGCCTTGGAATGAGCATTCACACACTTAATCGAATGGGCATAAGAGAAGAAACACTTACTTTGATTCAATGCAGAACTTGTGGCAAAATATAGAAAAAATTGGATTCAGACCAAAATGAAAATCAAAGTTGCATATTTTTGTCCATGTACAGCTAAATTCACAGTACATTTTATCAATCAATGTAAAATTCACTAATTTATTATATAATTTTCTGGGCTGATTATTTTTGAAGCTCGCTTTAAACTCATTTTTCAGTCCTTTGCATTGAAATTTCTTGGGAATATGATAATAAATATATATTATATTTCCCACAGGTCCTTCAAGTCTAGCTAAGAAAAAAAAACTACAAGAATTTATGAGGTTAGATTTGCTTATTTTGCCTTCTTATGCATATACTTTAAATATTAAAATAATGAATTCATTTATCCAGTGTCTTAGGACAATTAACTTCACTTAATTGAATTTTTAAGAAAATTTTTGTTCCGTGATTGAAGTTTTTTTTCTATTTATAAATACCTGAGATAATAAACTATTCTGGAATATATATTCTAATTTTGTGACTAAACTGAACTTTGTACATATGTGTGTGTTTGTGTGTGTTTTTTAGTAATTAAAACATCTTTTTTAAAAATTGTGCTCTTGCAATTTGACATCAGACTTCTGGACTCTTTGATTTGTGGACAGTCTTATTTAATTCTTATTTTTCTTTCTCATTCATTTGTTAATCAAGTGTTTCTAGAACATGTGCCTTGTGCCATGCACTATTAAGATTACTGAATAGCAATTGTAGCCAAAACTATTCAGCATGATTAAAATATACGGTGAATGTTAAATTAAAAACACAATCATCACAACAGAAGACATTGCTATGAATCACCATCAAAACATTTCTGCTCTCTTTGAACTCCTCCATCCTTCTTGCCATTCCTGAAGCAGTTCTAAAAGGATTCATTTTGGGTATCTGTATGATTAAAAGAAATACATTAAATCCTGTCTCCAAATGCCAGCATGGCGAAATCATTATAATGTATCTTCATCGACCTAGTTTAAAGGAGATAAAACTGGGTGACCTCTGGCGTTTCCTCCAAGTCAAAATGACCATGGAAAGTAAGTGTTTTGAGTTGATCCAGGATATCCAGGCAGCCACAGCAGTGCAACTAGACATTTACAAAAGAAGACTTTCAGAAATGCTTTAGCGTGTGGCAAAAATGATGGGATGTGTGTTCCAATTGTGGGGAGTATTTTGGGTGGATTAATGGCCATGTGTCTTTCACTGTAATAAATTTTTAAAATTTATATAGTCATCATCTTTTACTCCTACCTTGTATATTCCTTCATAGTTTATGCTCTAGTGGAAAGTCAACTGAATGATTAAGAGTACAAACAGGGTGATACTAAGGAAAATAAGACAAGATGCAGTTCCAGAGGTGATGGCAATGGTGTTTTGACTGGGAGGGGAACAGCAAAGCCTTTCTGCAGTGTGGCAGTGAGATTGAACAGAGGAGCAGGAGTGACACAAGACTTTCTGCCTTTGGAACGGTTACTGTAAAAGCCCTCAACAGGGACGGACTTGGCTTCAAAAGGAGAAACATGAGATCACTCTGCCTGGACAGTAGTGGACAAAAGTGAGAGATGGGTACTGTGGTCACTGATCTTGTTCCCATGATTGAAAGCCAACACCAGGGCACACTTTGACATTTTCTTGAATATTCACTAAATTAAAATAGCCATTGTTACTGGAGAAATGATTATTATCCATTATCTTGCCACTGAGTTATGTACAAACCTGAGTTAAAATGCTTTTACAAAGAGTATTTTTCTGTTTCATACTTATCTTAATTCTCCTGCAAGCGCCTCTGGGAAATATAGAATGCATGCATGATCATAATTCCTCAGCAAGTTAATGTAAAAGAATGAAAAGATAGATGAAATTTGGTTTGAAAGTTCATGGAGCTACACCACAAACGTAAAGGCTTCATACCATTTGTTAAAATGTGCTATTCAGATTGGTTGTGGTCACAGTGCCACTGAAACTTTTGTAAGAGTTGCTTAGCCTGCTTTGTGCAAAAGGGTGGTAGAAGAGCAAGGGAGGGAGGTCTTCATCAACAGTGATGAATGACATCCACTCAGGTGAAGTCTGTTGCTATGGAGATGAGGTGAGATGCGAATTACAGTGGTCCAGCATGAGAACCTTGCTCTTAATGTAATCTCCCGGAGAGGGAGCAGAGACTGTAAAAAAATCCAAGGGCTGAGTCCTGGGCATTTTCATATTAGGAAAATGTGGACTTTGGGAGAAAGAAGAAAGGTCCATTAAATGAATCACAGAAGAACAACTAGTGAGGGAAAAGGCAAAAATGTTAATGAGATTATAAAAGCTAAGTGCAGAAAGCGTTACAAATAGAACTGAGATTTTGCTACTTCCAGGGCAGTTGACTTTTTGAGTATGATGAGAATTTAACTTTTCACCTGGAAGTACAGATCAGGTTGATGATTATCCTGTGTTCTCTCTTATGGGCATCTATTTCTTTTTTATTATTGCAAGAAGCACAACATGGTATCTGTCCTCTTAGCTTTCTACAATATTATTAGATGAAATTTTGAAAATTGAATCTCTAAAACTTATCTCCTGCAAATGAAATATTTTAGCCATTGATTAGCAACTCCCCAGTTCTTATTTTTTAGCTTTGATAGAATCCCATTTTGTCTTTCTTTCCTGAATTTTGATATTTCTTAGTCTCTCTTTTCAAGGCATGCTAGAAAGCAGATTTTTATACAATCTCAATTTTACTTGACATTGTTAGATAGCAGGTCTGAGTTGAGATCCTTCACAAGAATTCACTTTGATATAGATGTGTTTCTGAAAATCTGTAGTTATTTAAACTGCTATTGTGACTTATTATAAATTAGTGTGATTTGTCTAAATTCTGATAGCTTATAAATGTTTTCCATTGAGTTTATGGAATTTGTTCCATTCAATAATTATTTTGACAAGCATATACCAATCATTGTGCCAGAATCTCATTGAATCTTTCTATACATTCTTTTCAGAAAAATGTGATGAACCGCTTGTCTCCAGTCTCCCCCATGTGGCTTTCAGCAGCTCCTCATCTATGTCCAGCAGCTATGCCCCTGGCTATGCCAAGATAAACAAGCGAGGAGGTAAGACAACTTTTGATTCCTCTGCCAAAGAACATGTTAAGGAAAAATATTTTGTATTAGAGGATATAGTTTTAAATTGTGAATTGTCGTACAATAGACATTAGCAGGCACCCAAAATCATTCTTGCCACTTCTAGAAGATCTAGAGATACCAGGCATCATGTGCCTTCTTATTAGGGAATAATTTAGGAAAACTTGGGCTGCAAGTGAATACTATTATACTAGCTATTTTGGAGTCACCTGTAGTAACAGATTCAGAGTAATATAACTCTAAGTTAATAAAATCCTTACTAATCTAAAAATCATATGAAACACAGTTTAAAAATTAGCTTCTACTATGTGTACAGAGCATGAAAAACCGTACTATAATATTCACTGCCTTTTCTCTTTTCATTAATATGTACAGTTTTTATTAAAAATATAGGAAGCATAAATATAAGGCCTTTATAATGTCTCAGATTTGTGCAGAATTTAGCTTTGTTTTTAAAAATACATAAAATAGTTACTAATGTATTCAGTTTTTATATTTTTAAATCATTGTATTGATCATTTTAAGGGACATGATTGGTGGAAGATACATAGTACTACTACAAATAGATATTGATAGAAATACCAATGAATGTCCATTTCCAGAGGGAATATATTTTGTTTTTTAAACATGAGTAAATCAACAAGGACTATAAGATCTTATTAAATAAAACACAAAAACAGGGATTTTCAAAGACTGGAGAGGGAAACGTAGAATGGGAATGTTGATGAACAAAGAAATAGTTTGAATTAGAAAGAACCAACTCTAGGAACTCAGGACAGAGCACAGTGACCGTAGTTAATAATACCATGTTGTACAATTGAAAACAACAAGGAAAGTAACTCTTGCCAGCGTGCTCACTATAAAAAAGGGCAGCTCTTTGAAGAGATAGGCACATTACTCACATGAGTAAGTAGATTCGGAATGGATTCGTATAATAAAACATCGTGCTTCATATATATATATATATATATATATATATATATATATGAAATTGTATCTATCAATTTAACCTCAATAAAATCAGAACTTAATTAGGAAATACTAAATCATAGGATAATTTCAAACCTGAACAATTCAATAAGTAAATATTGAAAACTAATAAATGTAGAGGGACCACTGAAAAATATGAAACAGAATGAGAAAGAGGAAAACAACAAAAAGTAATCATTCATGGTACCAGAAAATAGAGAAAGAGATATGAAAACATTAAAAAGGGGAAAGGATAGATAAGAAAGGGCTAGAATAATATATAATAAACAATATATACAGAATTGTGAAAATAACTTCATCAACAAGATCTGACATACTGAAACACAGAGATAAAAAGTTAGAAGCATATAAATAACAAAAAGGTTTTGATTTAATAGCATTATTAGTTAGCTCATCTTTTTATAACTTTATATTCATCAGGTTCCTAAAATGAGTTTGCAGTTCAATACTAGTTATCAAAATATTTCTTAGAAATATTAAACTAAGCTAAATTTTACCTTGTTATTTCTTTTATGAGTGCCACTGGAGCCATTAACAAGGAAAAGAATATATGGAAAAAAGCATAAAAAAAGAATTGGCCATACCCAAATACTAATGATGCAGATTCATCCAGGACTATAAATTATAGAGCAAAATATAAACAATAAAATAAATAACAGATTCCTAGGTGCCAAGGGATGTCATAATCTCAAAAGTATATGTCATGGTACTGAAAAATCTTGACAATTTTAATGAGAAGCAGAGTCAGAAAATATTTATTTATAAATATGAGGAAAATATGACTGAAGAATATGATTTCCTCCATGAATTCTAGCATGTCATGCACAGAACACTTGAGGAATAAAGAGCATAAAATATTGTCAACAATGAGGAGTGAACAAATAAACAATAAAGAAACTATGGGAGAATTCCCGGTTTTGAGCAATAAATCCATTTCATTTTAAAATTTAAGCTAAGGAATTGTCCTCTTTGGACAAAGTACATATTTGTAAATTCAAGAACATAAAGTACCAAATTATCAGAATAATGCAAATGTGTATTACTCTGACTTTTCAACAAAAAAGTCACTCACTAAATGTGTGAATTAGTTTTTATTTTTTTAATTTTTCAGGAATTAATATATCTTAGAAAGTCTGTTATTGTCATTCTGGTAGTGTTACATTCATTTTTTGTTTGGTTTTAAAGTAATATCAAATGTTGCTTTAAATTACTTAGAGGTATTTATCTATTTACCTACTCATATATGTAGAATGTGATATTTAAAAATTAATTTATAAAATTTTCATAGACTTTTTTATCCAGATAATGCTTTTTTAAGACTAGTTTTGAAACATGCCTTTTTTATTTCATTCTGCTATCCTCTCTGGATTGTTTTTTGCAGGTAGATGGATGGATACATAGACAGATGAAATGTAGAATACACTGGTAAACAGAAAGTGTTTTTCAACACACAAAAAAGTCTATCTTTATTATTAGTATATTCTTTTTTGTTTTGTTTTGGTTTGATAGAGTTTTTGAGACAAAGTCTCGCTACCTTGTTCAGACTGGCATTGAATTGATTATTAGAGCATGCTAGCTTTGAACTCCCAGCAACCTTCCTGCTTCAGGCTCCGGAGTGCCAGGTTTAGAGGCATGCATCACCATGACAAGCTGAAAAGCTGTTTTTAAAAAGTTGTATTTTTCTTGGTAGTGTAAACTCCAATGTGTCTTTTTTTGGCTACTGCTGTGATTCATAATTACATATTAGGGTGAAGCTATCATATTAGGAGAGAAATATTGTATATCCCTCAATTACTAGCTTGTCCTTCACTGTTCCGTTTATCAATGTGTGTTCTGTTGGAGTTTTATTACTTATATTTTGGCTTTCAAAGGTATTTGCTGTGCATAACTGCATGTGAACTATCACCCTACACCTTATTATTGTGGCTGCTTTGGATTCTGAGGCAGGTATTTCTGCCTCCACCCTTCACAGTGCACTTTATCTTGGTGGACAATCGCAACACATATTTGTAGGCTTAAACTCCACCCTAGATGATCATGAAGTGTGGGTTGGAGGAGTCATCATCTTTGAGGAAAATAACATTTCTCCAAGAAAAACCTAAAATAAATTCATAAGCAGGAGCATAGAGACCTAAGCCTATAATCCTAGGACTCTGGTCCAGTAAGACAAGAGAATTAGAAGTTTGCCTGGAGGAGTCTCCATATATAAGTAGAAAAAAAAAAAAAAAAAAAAAAAGAAAGAAAAAAGAAATATGCTGCAGTGGCAACTTAGTGTAAAGGCCCAGGGTTCACTCTCTGGTACTGAAAAAAAAATGCACATGGCCATTTGGGTAATTAAATACAATATTTTATTCTTATAGAAAACTCATACGGAGTCTATTCATTGAAATTCATGCTCAAATACACCTAGTAACCTTTACCAATTGATAATTTTTTAGTAGAGTACAATATCTGAAAGTAGATAAAAAGGAAGCACAAAATTCTCAAAAGAGGCAAAAAAGAAATAGATATATGGAAGAGAAGGCAGGAATGCTGGGAGTGTATTTTCTGAGTTCACTACTGGCAAAAGTATCTGGCACACACTAGTGCAAATGTTTGAAAGTGAAAAGAAAATATACTAGCACAGGAAAATAAAAGATTATAATTAGCTAATTATACAGATGCAGAAAAGAACAAATTCAGTTTAGCTTTGTGTTGATAAATATTGACTTTGAGTTTCATTATGTAATTATCATTTTCCAATATATTTTACAGAGCATGTTGTTATAAATATATAGAAAGTAAAATACAATATATATGCAAATACACATTCAGATGACAGATTGTCACATATTTATGAAATTTAGTTTAGTTTTTGTGTTACCACAATCCAAATCCTTCTACTAAAATTTTCATGTCACAGAAAACTAAAAAAGAAAGCCAAAGTTAATTGTGACATTCAGATACTACATCCTGGAACACACTTTTTTAGTTTTGTTTCTTTCTTTTTATCTCTCCCTCCTTTTCTCCCTCCTATCCTTCTTCTTTCCTTCCTTCCTTCCTTCCTTCCTTCCTTCCTTCCTTCCTTCCTTCCTTCCTTCTTTCCTTCCTTCCTTCCTTCCTTCCTTCCTTCCATCCTGCCTTCCTTCCTTCCTTCCTTCCTGCCTCCCTTCCTTCCTTCCTTCCTTCCTTCCTTCCTTCCTTCCTTCCTTCCTTCCTTCCTCCCTCCCTCCCTCCCTTCCTTTCTTCCTTCTTTCCTTCCTTCCTTTACCTCTTTCTTTCTCTTTCTTTCTTTCTTTCTTTCTTTCTTTCTTTCTTTCTTCCTTCCTTCCTTCCTTCCTTCCTTCCTTCCTTTCTCTCCTCTCCTTTTAAAACCCCTTATTCCTGTGATCTTTGACATCTGCACATTCATAACACATTGAAAGCTTCCAATCTTGTGTTTCTCTGAGTCAATGTCTTTCTTCAAGTTTTGAAAGATTCATAGAAAGTATCACTTATCTTACATTTATAATACAGTTTACAGATACCAATGCTTTCTGGTATGCACTAAACACTTGTTGACTTTCATAATAACCTTACTAGGATGGCAAGTTAGAGCTGCTGTCCTAGGATGCTCTCTGCTTCCATTGCAACAGGACGTTAAAAAGGTATCAGAAAATTCAAAATATAAAAGCTAGCTAACAGTTTAACACCAGATTGAAACATGAATGGCCCGCCCCATAACTGGACCACCAAACCCAGAGAGTCTGGTCCAGGTCAGCTTGACCCAGTCGAGCTGCAGTGCTTCTGTTTTCCTTACTCAAACTACATCCTGTTTTACTAACTTGTTCTAAAGACTGTTTAGACTAGTCAAGAACAAGGACATATATGATGTCACCCACCTCCTCACTCAAACTTCCTAACTCTCCTATCTTATGATAAATAATTCCTCAAACTGCATCTGTCCAATCTGCCTGACAACATATGACATAGTCTTTAACTGACTTGCTATTGGCTTTTAT